TGGGCGGAGCCACCCTATCCTTTCTTTGCCTGGAACAATGGCAGCCATATTTGCTGTGATCAGCGGGTAAAAAGTAGTTTGAATCTATGTTGAAGTGAGAAAGTCCACCTGAAAACATCATCAGTGCAGTCAGCTCATCCAGATTACCATCCTGCCTTCAAAGATTATTTCTGTGGGAGCCGCTCAGACCTCCGTACACCGGCGGAGCTCTGTCACTAGAAACCCAGTTATACAGCAGCCTCTGGCCCGGGCGCCTCTTCGCGGTTTTCCCAGACATCCCAAGTTCCAAAAACTCATTTCAGGGAGATGCTTAAACCCATAAAAAGTCAAAAAAAAGTAAAATTCCTAAATTATAAATTCATATCAACCTCATAAGAAATAGAATTTCTATTGAACCTAATTGAATAGAAATTTCCCTTCATGCAGCTCTCTTAATATACTTGAATCTCTTGTCCTGTTTTTTATTTCATGCCTTTCTGGGCCCCCATGACAACATGATGCCCCCCTCCTGGCCCCCTGGTACATTTGGTCTAGATCCACCTCTGTTCCTCACCTTCAGTAGATGTGGATATACTTTAGTATATTCTGCTGTAAAATTAGTCCTATATTTTTAGTTTTTACCACTCAAAGCTGTGCATCCTTTCCCAGGATGCACAGCTTTGAGTGGTAAATAGGTGAGAGTAACCTGAAAGTAATCGGACTGATCCAATCAGCTCTCTGACCACCAGTCGCCTGGAACGCTGGTTGAACCGAGCATCACTTTGGACAGACATGCAAAGGTTTCACCAGCAACCTCCTCCTCACACCCTGCACTCTCTTGTTGTTCCTGAGCAATCGAAGTAGTTCTATAATCCTCACATGATGCACAAATTATTGTACTGCCTGCTCGCTCTCACTCAAATAAAAAAATCACCACCTTGCATGGTCTAAAATCTGGGATAATTTATCCAACTCGTGGGCATCCGTGAACAACTATCTATATCAGGGAGACTCCCGGAACTTCCGGGAGACTTTGGATGTCTGTTTTCCGCTACTGTTCACAGCGGCTGGAAGGGTTTTTCATGTACGTAATCCACACTGCAGCTACCAGAATAATAAATTTAACATATTTTACCAGCAGATACTTTAATAAACATTAAACGCCAGGTGTAAATAAACTGTTTCAGAGGAGTGATCATAGCGCTCTCCATCAGCAGTGCTGTGTCTGTCTCCCTGCCAGCTCCCAGATCAGCTTCTCTGATTGGTTAATGAGGTGCGTCCAGCAGCTAAAGTTCAGTTTTTCCAACCCAGCAGCCTCTGCTTCTAAAGTGCATCACACGAGTCAGATCCTCAGAAGCTCATGAGGCACTGCTCCTGCTGCTCAGATGCGCTGCAGGACGTTTGCTCCACCTTGATGCGCGTAAACCATTGAATTTCCACGTATACCAGCTGCTTCTGCTACTTTAGGTTTGAACGAAGGCCAATTTATGCTTCTGACGCATAGCCTCTGCAACCGTCAAATCTATCTCTGTGCACGACCACGCCCCCCGCGCAGAGGTTCAGCAACCGTCGTCGCACACCTCAATAATATCCTGACTACGCACCAGATGGTCGCAAACCCGTGCAGACCTCAATCAGAAGTGCACAGACAAAAAGCAGCTGTGATTGGTCCTTGGTATGCCTTCCCTGCTGTCTGTGTGGTCGTCCTTCTCCATTTGGTGCCCGGGCGCCATTTTTAAAAGTTCTCCAGGAGTTACCAAATAGGCTCCCCCTAGGGCTTTGGCAGGAAACTGCTGTGCATCCCAAGAAATTCCAGAAGCATACCAGCAACACTGGTTCGCGATCAGACCCAAGCCACATTGGATGTGTGCGTTGGCAGAAGTCTAATCTGCCCTTTAGCCTCTGACACAACCAGAGAAAATTACTCCTGCACCTTAAAACAGGGAATTATATTGTATTCCATACAATTCCACTAAAAGCTTTGTTTCTCTTGAAGCAATTAAATGTCCCTCCTTGCAGTAATTCTTTGAATTAGTGAGGGAAAAAAAATCCTAATTATTCCATACAGATGACAATCTGATACTGCCAATCTCTGCAGCAAAAAAAGCTGTGAGACAGATGTTCCTTTATTAATGCATGCTGGCCCCACTGAGGAGCCACAGCTCTGCAGCACATGTGGGATGTGCCCCAGTTTCACAGCAGCATGTTTGGGGACGCGGGTATGTGTCTGTGTGACATCAATATGTCAGAGGGGGTGCTTTTATCATGTCATTATTTCAGTGTGACCAGCATTTGCTTTAGCCTCTGGTCGAGAATTCATTTCTTCACGTCGTCTCAGATAAACGATCGGTCATTTTATCTGCAAATCTATGAAACAATGCGAACAGGAGTTGGTTATTGTGATCATCACTGAAAAGTCACACTTAGCTCATGTAAGCAGTGAGAGTGGGGCTGTGTTGATCTAGCTGCTATGTGCTACATGTCAGTGACACTGTATGGTGATAGATAACAGGCGCTAATTGGAAATAAAAGTACTACAGATTAAATGCTCCTCCCTTCTGTCACACCTCGAGTGCCTAATTAAAACTGATTTTTACTGACATCTGCTCCTAAATACACCTTTCACCCCGCTAAAGCTTTTTACATACACTCCAAAACAAGGGATAAGTGTGATGAACCTAGATGCCTGATGTTGTTTCCTGCATCTGGAAGCCCTGATTAGACTATCGTTTGTTGTATCCACTTCCCAAAACCAGACTCTGTCAAGTAAATTCATCAAAGGCTGCCTTCTTTGCCTCATTCTCCACAAACTATGTTACGTGTGCCGCCATGTTGGTTTGCTTGTTCCCTCTAGAGAGCATTAGTAGCGTAGATCGCCTCTTGGAGGCGAGGAGCCGTGTTAGCGTGGTGTGTAAACGGTCTTAAGGAACCGAGCTCGCCATGGTTAACTGATCCAAGCTCGGCGTTGATCGGTTTTCAGAGGGTAGTGAAAATGGGGCTATAGTCAGGAAACGTTAAAGACAGCGTGCTGGACTGCTTTATGGCAAAAACAACTAACAATTAACTTTAATTAGCATCCAATAAAGAAACATAATTGTAGATTTCAAGGTAGATAAAAGTGTTTTTCAGCACTATTAGCATCATGGGGAAAGAAGCGGAGCGTGTGGCGGTGTAAAAATACCTCAGTGTTCACCTGGAAAACACACTGAACTGCAGACGCACCTGTAAAGCTGTCTGCAAGCAGGGACAGAGCAGACTGTACTCCTTTAGGAAGCTTAGGTCCTTTAGTCTTATAAGCCTGTGATCTATAAATCTGTTGTGAATAGTGTGATCTCTTTTACTCGGAGTGAACATGATTAGCTTTTAATGATCGTGTAAACAGTCCAGCAGCTGACACAGACTCTGCCAATAAAAAACATTTCCCTCTGAGGGCTTGTAGCAAAGCTTAGGGTCCAGTCTGTTGAGGTTTGTGCTCAGTATATCTTTGATGGACGAAGGGGAGGGGGCAGAAAAGTCCTTTATATTATTTAGCAGACGTATCATACAAATGTTCATCTTTTCTTATTGTCTGTGCCAGCTGGTCCTCAGAAATATGCAAATACACCTTAACTAAAGGGGATTTCTAACCTGAGAAACAGAAGTGGAAAATCGTCTTTGCTCCTTCAAATTAAAAACCAAATTCTGACCAATTGTTCATCTGTTGTTGGACTATTAGATGAAATGTTCTGCTCAGAACAAGCAGCTAGAACCTCCAAGACAGGTCAGAGACATCACAATGACGGCCTCTCATGGAGTATGTAACGCAAGGAAGAGTTTTCTAATATGATGATGCAGAGAGAAGCACACAAAAGATACAGCATTGCATCAATTAAGGCAAATAACAATGAGCACAACCCATGGATCCCTTGAAGAACAAATGTTTATTCATTAGCTCTTTGGGAACCAGGCTATTTTTTTACATTCAACACGGAAACCTTCTTCTAAAAGTAGTCTGAGGCAGCTGCAAATGTCAGGGTCCAAAATGATCAACCTTGGGCTCTACAGATAACTGATCCTCCGGACACTTTCGCAACAAAGTACCCACTACTTTTTCTCATTGAATGTTAAATATGAGTTCAGAAACTCCAGCAAAGCATTCTCTTTGGCATTATGCTTGATCAAACCTTTAAACAAGAGCAGAATGGGGTATCAGGTTCCTGTGGTACTTACAGTTTCCACAGTAGCAAAATTAAAGGGTTAAACAAAGCATTCCCTTTACAAATTACTACTGAAATGTTAAAATGGATAATATAGTTCTAGTTCTTTATATTAGGCTTTTTTGCACAGTTTTTCTTTTTCTTTTTTCTAGGTTATCCTGAGCTACTTATAGTTATGCTGCTAAAGGCTAAGGCTGCTGGAGGACATAGGGATCACTTTCATTACGCCTTTTTCTCCTACAGCAACAGGGCAAAGTTTTCACTGTGAACCTGTGCTGTATCCTCAAAGTCAGTGATTGGAGGCAAGCAGCTGGGTTCGCTTAGATTGGGAATTTTTAACCAATTTCTTCTGTGTGATTTAATTGAATGTTCTCTGTAAACTTTGAGGTTGATGTGCTGTTAGATCCACATTTCCCCTTTGTCATTCATAGTTTAAGGCATAAACAATTATAAATAAAAACAATTATCTATATATAACTGAAATAAACTCCCATCCACCTCCCATCTTCTTTAACATAAACAAGCAGCTCTCAGAACTGTATCTATGTATCAAATTCCTATTTTGTGCACATGATCATGGCTAAATGGGGCTCATTCTGATTATAAAATAAATTCAAACTCAAAACACATTATAAATAAGTGATGATCAGCTATTTTGCATCAGTGTATGAAAGCCTTATGTCATGAAGAATCACGATGCACCGTATTTATGGTTCAGGATGATATAAAATCAGTTCATGTTATCCAGTGGTAACAGAAAGAAGGCTATGCACAGGGATCAGTTTGGTAGGAAAAGGAACCTGCAGTGTGTTTGAGAGAACCTACCTCTTCAGGAAGGCTAACCACCAATGCATTCTCCGCTTGGCCAACCAGTGCCTGGAGAAAATACTCGCTGCAGGCAGCCAGGACCGCCCGGTGCCCTCGGAACTCCTTGCCCTCCACCAGGACTGTCACATCGCACAGGATATCCTGCTTCCGCTGGTCATTAAGGCAGAGGAGGATATTGGTACAATGAACCGTCGACTCATACACATACATTGGGTCTTCAGTCTTCTCATCCACGGACATTCCGCTCACACCCTAGAAATAGAAGCACAACATAGGAGGAATCAGCTTACAGCCAAGTGCAGGCAGGGCATGCCACAGGACTGACATCAGCAGCGGCAGCCGCACCATTCAACTTAAACAGCAACAACTGGCTGCTGCTTCTCATGTTTTTGTCAAGCTATTGTCCACATGGCTTCAATTCTAGAGTTGGAGACGATGGATTCAATTTTGCAAGGCAAGGCTTTCCTTTCGGTTTCAGCCACAGGGGACTGAGATCCTGACTGTCTGACCGCTTCTCTGCAGGAGCTTTTCTTGTCCATCTAAAAATGACCAAAGATCCAGTGACAGGAGGTAGAAATGGACTGAACAGTGTCCAAAACGCTCCATTTGTTTTCACTCGCCTGGGAAAATGTGCTTGTTTTATTCATGGTTGTTTGCTACTGGAGCCGCACCAGAGTGACAGCAAAGCCTCTTCCTCACAGTTCACCATTTTTCACCAACATTATAGTCCTGTTTCTCACCAGTTGTGTTTCATTCCTGTTGTGGAGTTTCTTCTTTTATGACACTTTGCTTTCAGTTTTCCAGGTTTCTAATATGTCTGAACTGGTTCCAAACACTAGAACCATCTATCACAGAACAACAATGTCCAATAATGAACCTGTCAATGATATTTTTGGAATTATTTTTCCACCTCAATGAAATAACATTGTTCAAATGTTTGTTTGGCATCTGTGAGCTCCTCATTGACGATCCCATATCTCCTCCATGGAATTCAACAGTTAAAAACTAAGTTCCCTCCAACCGTCTGACTGCTCACCTCTGCCTGACAGGAAGGATCACTGTCTGTTATAAAACACAGAGGCCAAACACACACCTACACAAACAACACACTCACATGACCTTTATATGAGATCATAATCTGCACCAGGGCATCTGTCGGCTCAGTTAGGGCTTCGCTTTACAGGGTAGAACATTTTTAGGTAGCTACAATTGGTGACTAAGGTTAATTTGCTCCTGTGCTTTCATAGCATGTTGCTGCTGTCTCTGAACAAAGCAGGATTTTTCTTCAGTGGAGGTGGAATACAGCATGCCACTGAGCTACAGAAGAAGGAGACTCTATTAGCTGGAGTTTCCCTGAACAGCCCTTACAACCACATGTGTTTTTTTTCTTCACTTGTTGCCCTTAACCCTTTATAGGACAAGTTAGCATTATTAATCACTTGCATATAGCGTTGCCAACCGTCCCTTGATAAACGGAATCGTTCTGTATTTTGAAATAGAAGTACCTGCCCCGTATTCAGTGGAAAAGGAACGAGCTTTGTCCCGTATCACTGTTGGAGTAAAACAATAGTCGGTAAAGAGTTATTGGAATATGAAAAACAAATGCACGGTAGATACAAAATGTACGGTAAACTTGTTCCGTCCCTGTCCTGCATTGGGACCAATGATCTGACAACATATATGTAACGATCCAGAATACTCTCATTGGTCGAGCCAAGTGTTGCTCACGGAGAAGATAGCGGGAGACAACAGAGCAGCATGGGGAACGAATTTAAATGCTGACGCTGCTTTGAGGGGCGGTGCACCTTCGCATAGAGAAAAAGGATGCAGAAATTTAGGGAGGAATGGGAAAAAACAAACAACTGCGTGGAAAAAGTCTGTGATAATGAATATGAAGCACACTGCAAATATGCATCCTATTCAATGCAGATTTGAGTCAAATAGTTTCACACACAAAGGGGGCTAAAAAAAATCACCACTCCAGGAGGGGTGAAGGCAGCGGGTCAGCTGGTACGCACATGAGGAGGCCCTTTAATTTTTTCAGCCCTACTAACATCCCCTAGGTTTAATTGTTAAGCCTAGTTAAAAAATTAAGTTCCAGTATCAGGATTAAAGCCTCTGAGGTTATGTTGGTTTCTTTTACTCTCAGAGTGTTTTTCATAAATTTCTTCTAGAAGCACTTTTGTTAGTTGGCATTTCTTGTTATTAATTTGACATAAATTTTTGCCATCAAAATATCCCTATTTTTTCAATGTTACAAAGGTAATAAGTTCTTATCCTGGATTCAAATAACACTATTGGCTTCAAATTTAAATTTTCCAAGAATTTTACTTTAATCAGATAAATGTTGAGGTTAGATTCGATCTTCTTACCCCTTCAAACTCAAACACCCTCCTTCTGATCGAAACACGAGTTCTGAGCGGCGTAAACATTGTTCTCACCGCCTGACTGAGCAGATGAGTCATAACCTCCTTTCAGACCAAACTTTCAATCTGTGATTTACATGTCCTGCATGTCTCACTGATCGGCGGATCAACCCTCTGATCCGCCTCAGGAGTTGGTCACAGACCGTTCACCGTCACAGATGATGGTGAAAGATGAAGACCTGTGTAATGAGCTGGACGTGGTGTTACCATACAAACCAAAGAGATAAGCTTAAGATGTTGAGGCGCATTGATGATGGTGCAATAGATGATGCAAATAATTACATGCTGAAGATGACATACAAAAACTATTTCAGAAGGTGTAGATATTATTGGGTAGATATACTGCTATCATATCAGCTTTTGGTTCCAGCGGCATGTTGTGTTATCTGATAACAATTGTCGTCTGTAAAGGGGTGGTTAGATATGCAGATTGGGTTTAAAAATAAAACTGCTTATTCAGAGGAATTTATGTTGTTAACCACAGGGCTCTGTACTGGGGCCCTTTTCTTTGTGGCCGGTATATATTCCCCTTCAAAAGGCACAAAGTCTCTTCTCACTGACACGTGATTTATCAATGACATTAAGTCCACCAAATTCAGCAAAATTTCCAATTTTTTTTAGGTAAGTCCAGGTACGGCTAAGAGGGAATTTATTATAGCTAAGCTAAGCTTTGGACTAAGTGATAAACTGCTTGGTCATGTTTCCCGTCCCACTGCCGTCCCTTTGTGTTTAATGGTTCATCCCCTGTTTAACTTGATAAACATATCAGTGTGGTCATTAAAGGAGGCCTTTTTTCATTAACCCTTTGTAAAGATTGAATCTTAACTTCCTTGGGCTAACTTTGAAAATTAGATCTGGATTACTGTAGTCCTCCAGCGTGTTTAAGATGCTGAGGCACCATACTGACCAAGATTACAGCCTCTTTCCCACTGAAAATGGCGGGTTAATGCATGAATTCCAAACATGGTTGACCCGCTAACAATCAACCCGCTAACAATCAGCATTTGCCTCCCTTCCCACTGGCTATAAAATAGCTGGTCTAACCCCTCGCTGGCAGCTGCTGCAGGCCTGGTCAGGCCATCACACTGGGTTAGCGTTGATGATGTCACCAATTCAACAGAAATCAGGAAAGTAAACAATGGAGAGCAGCATGGAAGGAAGCCAGGGCGTAGACAGTGTGCTTTATTGTTTCGCTCTTTTATCTGTCTGAATCCCTCTCACCAGAGCTGCTCCATGTTTATCGAATGTTTCTGCTTGTTATATCAGAAGCGACTGGCACAATGTGTTGACATCCATACGTTACGTTCAGTGGCATCACGTAATTATTGGGTCAACATGGCTCTGGTGTTTCCACAGCATGTAGATCAGAGCCTAGGTGATTTTAACGCAGGTCGCTAGCCTAGTCGTTTGACCCTGGTAGACACACACCAGTGGGCTGTTCCCACTGCCACTAAAAGCAGATGTTCCTGGGTTCAAACTGTGTTTTTGGCCTGTAGGAAAGGCGTAAAAGAGGCGGGAATCTTGCATCCCTGTTCTTTGCACCATTTCCTGGCTTTCTTTTGAATTTGGGGTAAATTTAAGGTGTTATTGATTTTTTTTTTGGCCCCATTTTATAAAGAGCTGCTGCAGTGCTACACTAAACCTAGAGCCTTGAGGTCAGCGGAACACATACTGCCATCTGAGCCTAAAGCTAGACTAAGGTCCAGAGGCCATAGAGCCTTCTCTATCAGCACCCAGACTGTGGAAGAGTCTTCCATTTCCTATCAAGTCCTCTCAGTCCTTACATCACAAATCCAGACCGAAAGGTTTCCTTTGGCCTTCAACACTGGCTGAAGATACTAATGATTTACTTTATTGATCCTGGAATTGATATAGTAACCAACTAAGGTTGGTTTCTTTATATGTTTGCATTTTAATCTGTAAACTGAGGCTTTAATAAAGAAGAAGAAACTCTTTATATTTGTCTTTCGCTAATTACCACAGAACCACAAACATTAAACGATGATCTCACTGACACATTAGAAACGTGAAAGGAATATAAATAATAAAGATATATTAAAGAGGAACAGTTTAAATACACTTAGTAGAATAAGACTCAGAAATACATCATGCTGTCTACAAGTAGATCTGTAAGTAAAATATTTATAACCTTAAATTGCAGTTAGGCTTCTCACAGGCCTGGAGAGCATAGTTTAATTAATCTGTAGACTGATGTGTTTATTGAAACTTTAATTAAGGACACAGAAACTAACGTCCAGGTTGAGAAGAAAAAAATCACAAATGTTTAAAGATTACAAAATGTCAGAATCATTAACCAGGTAATTGTTGAAGAGCAACCTTAACATTCATTGAATTTTGAAGAAAAAATCCCAAATGCATTTTTACCCTAATAAAGACAAGTTTTTACCCTGAGCTATCTCTATAGTTATGCTGCTATAGGCTTAGACTGCTGGAGGACATAGGGACCCCTATTTCATCATTCTGCTTCATTCTATCTCTATTCTCCCACTCTGCAGAATCTGTTAGTTCAATCTCTAACGTTCTGCTCTCTCTGCTTTTTCTCATAGTAGCTTCATCTGGTCTGTTCCTGTTTGGCTGTGACTCCATCCTGGAGAGAAATATCAGCTGTGCTGCTGCCATCAACACCTTTGTTTCTAGATGTTGGAGCTTGGCCTGTTTTTCAGTGTAGTCCTGTTTCTCTGACTGTGACTAACTGGATGTGCTCTCTTCATCCTCTGACATGGGAGCTGGCTCGGAGCTCGTCTGCCTGGCTGTGTGTTTCCTGGACGGGGCCGCCTTTTACAGTTGCCTTTTGTATCTATGCTT